TCAAAATCAATACAGGTTCAAAATCAAATAGTAATCACATGTTTCAGGTGCTGGTAAAAATATAATTGATAGCTGCATAAATGTAACTAGCAGAGAAAGCTGAGCAAGTTCTGTACCCGGATTTATTGGTATTCATGTTTATATTGCTTCTCACATTGAGGTTCAATGCTTTTTACAGATTTCTAATTTTCAAAATGATATGAATGGCCTTTCAAATTAATGTCATCTCCCTTTTCAGCAGGAAGTTTAATCATGAAAACTTGTGTAACATTTACATCAGATCCCTTGAGTTAAATACTGGGATGAAAAAATTTGGCAAAGGAAGTGGAGGTGACTAAAATAGAACAGACACCAGCAGCAGGCAGCACAGCACACAACACAGCCCACAACACAGCCTAAATCCCTCCTCCACCACAATACACCATCATGGAAATTAAATTGGTTCCAGAGAAAAGGGTAATGGTAAATTGTTCATCGTTTGTTTATTTATTCAATTAAATTAGATCAACTGGTGCTTCTCCAAAATTGATAATAATGACACAGAAACATTGAAATTGTGTCAAGGAAAGAGCTGGTGATAAAAATAGTAACACATCACTGAGCATGGCTCAAATGCACAGCCATTTAAACACTGTGGCAAGGCACTGTACCTACTGTGGCAAGGCACTGTACCGACTCTGGCAAGGCACTGTAACGACTGTGGCAAGGCACTGTAACGACTGTGGCAAGGCACTGTACCGACTGTGACAAGGCACTGTAACGACTGTGGCAAGGCACTGTAATGACTGTGGCAAGACACTATAACGACTGTGACAAGGCACTGTAGCGACTGTGGCAAGGCACTGTAATGACTGTGGCAAGGCACTGTACCGTAAACACACTGTGGCAAGGCACTGTACCGACTGTGACAAGGCACTGTACCGACTGTGACAAGGCACTGTAACGACTGTGGCAAGGCACTGTCATGACTGTGGCAAGGCACTGTAATGACTGTGGCAAGGCACTGTACCGTAAACACACTGTGGCAAGGCACTGTACCGACTGTGGCAAGGCACTGTACCGACTGTGGCAAGGCACTGTAACGACTGTGACAAGGCACTGTAATGACTGTGGCAAGGCACTGTAACGACTGTGACAAGGCACTGAAACGACTGTGTGGATTGTTAATGAATGAAAATCACACAGATGGTCATCCTATGGTCCACTATCGACCAGATACACGTTGGTGGTCACTATGGGTGGTCACTATGGGTGGTCACTATTGACGAGATACACATTGGTGGTCACTATGTGTGGTCACTATTGACCAGATACACATTGTTGGTCACTATGTGTGGTCACTATTGACCAGATACACTATGAATAGGGTTAATAAGTTGTCTTCAGAGATAGGTATATTGAGAGGAATGCTGTCCTAAAAACAGATTATATTATTATAGAAATTCTATTTGATCAAATGTTTCATATGCAAATTTTTACTTACATTTTACACAGCAAAAATGGTGGCTATAAGCAGTTCATCAGTATTTAGAGGTTTAAATACACATGGGTCAAAAAAACCTGTACTGCCAGTGCATGTAGTAAGGATATAGACATAACATATATTGATCCGTACCAAGGCATTCATCACTGTACTGTACATTAACTCATTATTTTAATTTCTGGCGTGGGAATTTTTCAGCAGCAATACAAAATGTTGTGTAGGTGTGAAGAATAGCTCAAACGGGTATCTTATGTCATTGTGACGGGAATGTTTACATACCCTCCAGTGTTCTGCTTTCCCGTCCGTCCTCCCCCACACCACCTTACCATCACGTCTTACTAAACCCTTACACAACCCTACTGTTCCATCCCTTCTACAGTATAATGTAGAATTTCAATCCCTGTCACCTAAGTAATGGCTCAAATCCCATATTTTAGAGCTACCAGCACCAATAATCTGAATCTAATAGCTGAACTAGTTATAACAAACCTTGTTACACATAATATGCTTTACATAAAATTATCTCCCTTTATCGTTTTATCTTATTACCCTGGATTGTATCAGAGATATCTCCCTTGACTGATTTTCAGTAACCATAGGTATCTTAGCCCATAGGGCCTGTATCGCTCACCTGGATATCTAAGCAATCATGGCAAAATATTCTCCAAATGAGATTCAAGGGAATATGCCAGACCCCAATGCCAATTCTTGTAGTAGGTCTGTATTAGATTTTTCATTTAATGTAGGGTTATGGGGTGGGGATCTTAACTGTTTCCAAGCTGTGACTCAGAAACGAGATCCCTAGGGTTGTGGCCAGACCCCAGGATCAATTCTAATATCATGACTTCATTCGTCTCTTTATGCCCCACATTTGTATATATAGTTTTGGGGTGGGGATCTTAACCATTTCGAAGTTATGACCCTGGAGTTAAGTCTCCAAGGGTGGGGCAGACCCCAAAGCCATCCTCAGGAAGCATATGTGCATTCATCACTTTATACTCAGCAATTGTATATATGCATGGTTATAGGGTGGGGATCTCAACTGTTTCCAAGCTGTGACTAAGAAACTAGGTCCCTAGGGGTTCAGTCAGACCCCAGGGTCTAATACCATGACTACTTTTGTCTCTTTATGCCAAGCATTTGTATACATAGTTCTGGGGCCCCCACCATTTGTTAAATTTTGAATCCCTGCCACCCATGAATGCTTCTGATCAAATATGATCAATATCCATGGCATAATTCTACATAAGAAGTTTACAGCATTATGACCAAATTGCCCTCTTTTGGCCACGCCCCTCAGCCCCCTGGGGGGTCAGCTCCACCATTTGTACAATTTTGAATCTCCACTAACGAGGGATACTTCCAGTCAAATATGGTTGATATCCATCTCTTAGTTCCAGAGAAGAAGTCCCTTAAATCAATATAGCCCAATTGCACCCTTTTGGCCCGCCCCTCAGGTCTGGGGGGCCAGACCCACGATTTATACAAAATTGGTTCCCCTTCACCCAAGGATGCTTTAGACCAAATATAGAACAAATCCTTTCATTCCTATACAGAAGAAGGATTTTAAAGAATTTACTATGTGTTCCCTATTGGGCCTCAATTGCCCCTCAGGCCCCTCGGGGGCCAGACCAATGGTTTATACAAAATTGGTTCCCCTTTACCCAAAGATGCTTCAGACATAATATGGAACAAATCCTTTCATTCCTACAGAAGAAGAAGGATTTTAAAGAATTTACTATGTGTTCCCTATTGGGCCCCGCCCCTCAGACCCACTGTTTATACAAAATTGGTTCCCCTTCACCCAAGGATGCTTCAGACCAAATATGGAACAAAATACTATTTAACATTATCAATTATCAACTATTTCACTAATCCTTAATGTTTGTTCTGTCCTGACTATGTCATCTTTGTTATACTTCAGGTGACTAGTGTATGCTCTGACACTGTTGTTGATGGATTACTCATGTTTCTAAAGGGTACATACGGACATATTTATCAGTGCATTATTTTGTAATGAATTTTGTTAATAAAAAGTTGTTTCCAAAAAAGTTAAAGTCTATTTATGCAGGTTTATGTGGATCAGTAACACACAATGTCATGTATTGGGATACTTGTTATAACAGTATCAAATGTATGACCTCTGCCTATCCATTAACTAGACAAAAAGAAGATCTAAATATTTAACCAGCTTCCTCACCTTTCACAAAAAAATGCTTATCTATTTTTTCAGCAACATTGGATAGCCTTGTTCTGAATCATTTTACCAAAACAACAAATGCTTGGACACATCAGTATGTGTATATAGATGGATAAAACAAATGGTTTACATAGCTAATGTATATATAAAACATTCTTATCCGGGGCAAACAGTTCAAATAAACTGTTCAAACTGGCAAATTTCCAACAAATAATCCTCTGATTAATAATCAATTTCAGGTATTTTATGAAACAACGGTGACATCAATAATTCCTCTAGTATTGATTTACTTTGTGATTATCTCAGGTAAAAACCCGGTTCTAGTAAACTTGCCACACTCCGTCATTTCAGTATGCTGATTCTGCGGCATGAAATTGGGTATTGTTATCACTGCCACATGCTTCATGAATATTCATAAGCTAACAGTTATATCCCTACTACCGTACATATAGCTCACAGGCATCGGTCAGACTCCCTTACCATTCCGTACGCATGCAATCACAGAGGTATATTTAAGTATTCATCAATATATCCTTGGTACAATATACTGCTACCCCTGGACAAACACCACCCTACAAGGCCCGAACCAGTTCTATCACATACAACACGAGAACACTCGCTCAATTAATCCATTCTTCTTCTATTTTTTTATAATGTGTACCGGAACATTTTCGCTGCAGTTTAATTTTTGCCCTAGGTTATGAGGGCGACCTTATCACTTCAGCGAATATTTGTAAGTAAATGTTATGGGCGAATCTAATATTGAACAAAAAGGGATTTTATCGTCATAGATCGAAAATTTCCTTGAGTACAGTATCCCTGCAACTTTATAATACACTAGCATTCCAATGTTAAATGTTACATTTTCTTGTGAAAGACTATATGATATGCTTTGATATCTCATTACTACTTCATTTTGTAATTGATTTATTCTACTGTTTATGATAACACTGGTTTTAAAATGGACACCTTGCTTTTTTTTGCAGGTATCTTGTGCTGAAAAAAGATTTTTATCAAAATGCTTAGTCTAGGTCTTGGTTAAGAACTCCAAAATATCATTTTAGAGAGAGAAACAATTAAACAGAGTGTTTATTTTCCTATTTTGCCGACCTCCCAAAAATGTCTCATCTTTGAAACAAATGTTGTTGAAGCCAGGCTGTTGGAGTCCAATTTGTTCAGATGTTAACCATTTGAGCACCAACCCAGTCACAGTTGTGTAATGTCTACCATTATGCAAAGCAGATCATAATTGGCATTCTGTACATTGGATAAGGTAGTTGCTATGCCAACATTGAATAAGACCGTTTCCATGCCTACCTTGTTCTGTTGAAGCCTGCGCTTGACCAACTTGGAACAACAGACATTGACCGACTGTTGGATCCGTGACGTGTTGTGCTCCAGGAACGAACGGCTGTCAATTAGGAGGACCTACAAAAAAAACAAAAAAAATCAGAAAAACAAAAACATTTCCAGAGTATTGCAATGCATTCAGATGTTTCATAGACAAAGCTTTATCAAGCTTTCCAAAAAGATGTTGTTTTTTATCCCCAAACTATTAACCCATCCCTTGTGTAAATTTGTTACTACCTTATATGGAAAACCCGATCACAGCTCATAGCACTGCAAAAAACGTTCTACTTGTACAACTGATGTTAATTACTGTCCACTAGGTGGGCCAAAACATGTAAACTGGATTAAATTTGCTGAGACTCCCCATTTTATGTTGTCTGGTCATCTCTTCCCTTGATGTTTATTATGTTTGGTGTAGTAAACTTTGAGAAGACAGGATACATATTTACTTACAAACTTGGGTGGTTGGTATACAATGTCATTTATTTGGAGGTTATGTTACAGCCTTTAAGACGACTTCTTTACCCAGAGCGGGAATCTACATCAATAATTGAAACAAAACTATTTTTATTTCTGATTTAAATAGATACACAATGGAGTCAATTGCCACTAGCTGTCTCAGTACCAATACATCAACACCATGTCATGACACACAGCATGGCAAAAAACACTCACATCCTTCTTACAAAGCACAACGGAGACATCCTAGAACCTTGAAACAATGCCCAAATTGATCCTTCGGTTTTTTTTCCATTTTTGTTATTATCTAACCTTTTGTGTTTGATTAAAAATATTGTTTCTAATACATATAAAAAGCTGATTTTGTTTTCAATAAACAAACATGGAAAAAGCATTTTTTTTCTTTAAAATTTTGGATCTGATCCTTAACTGGAAGTTGTGACTAAATGTGAAATACTGCCCACCACCATATACTTTACAGCTCAGAATCATGGCATCAGTTACATCTAAGGCAGAGTCAGTACAGTATATAGGCCTATGAATCACACCCAATCTCCAGGATCCGCGTCTCTTCCCAACAAAACCATGACACACAGCTTTCTCTGGACAAGTGACAAAGTCAATGCCCAGCAGAGTGACCATATTGTGGTCAAGCTATTTCAAAGACATGTAATCATTGATCAATTTCTGACCAGGCATAAACAATAACGTCTGCGGTAATTTTATACTATTAAGTATTATTGGTCTTTAGGATATCACTTCCCTCGCCTACATCCATGAATAAGCTAATCGGTTTGGGACTTTGAAATACAGCTGGCCATCTTGACTCATTGTGGGACATGAGTATGGTCAGCAAGGATTGAGGTTTACTTGCCTAGACTAAGATTATTGGAGACAGTTGTTAACTAATCAAAGACACCATGAATAATTCTACATAACTTAGTGTAGTAAGAAACATGTTACATAGTTACATACTTTTGTGATAATAAAGGATTTGAAAATGCTTCAGCCATGCACCCAGCATGTTTTGAAGAGAATACCAGTAAATAAAGAGACATTGGTTTTGAACAGGGTAGTTGAAATGACCTATTTTGAGCAAGGTAAGTAAAAGAATAGGATTATCCATGAAATCTTCTGAAAATGTTATTTTTTCTTTTGGAAATATAAATGCAAATGATTGATCTTTTTCAAAGAGATGTAAAAAAGTACAAAAAACAGCAAAACTTATAAACCGCTGCGAGTCTTTTAACCTTGCTAGTATTCAAAATGTGCCATGTGTACAATTCGGTCTCCACCTCCTTATGTAGTACATATGTACATGGGAGGCTTACTCATGTCTACATCTGGGTCATAAAGGCTTAGTTTGTTTTTTATATTTGAGTCCTTCATTTTTCTCATTGAGTACATGCAAGGCTATTTGAAAAGTCTGAAAGTTGAGGTCCCCATCTCTTTGCATAGTATATACATATTGGCGGCTTATTCATGAGTGTACTGGGGTCCTCTATCTCTTTCTCATTACAAGGGACACTAATTGTAGCATATGGTTACATAAAGTTGACGTTAAGAAACTATTTGTTTATGTTAACACTGGCTCCAGTAACCATATTGAATATCACCAACGGTATGTAAATAGCAGGGTATGTGGTTACTGAGAGTGGATGTCTTCATTAACCTACAAGGATCATAGGACAACCATTCCTGACTTAATTTGACATCAATGTTATAGAAATTCTTGTCGTGTGACATCATATCAGTATATACAGCGAGGCTGATAAAAGAGCTGGTGTAACGGAGAGATAGACCTCAGTTCAATGATAAATGTCGGAATTACATCACATACTACAATCAGTGTTAATGTCATTGTTACTCAGCTCTGTCAGTCATGGGCTATTAATTAAATCAATCAAAAATGCATAAAAAAAGTCCATAACACAACATTCTACAGAGACATTTCCAACAATGACTTAGAATCCTTGATTAGGTTTTTCATTAAAGGCTACATGTAAACATCAGTATCAACCTAAAAAACAGAAAATTTGAAGTTACAGAAATTCCTTTTTCAAAAAACAATGTGTATTTCAACAACCTCAAAAACTTGAATTATTAAATATTTCTGATTGCCGTTATAACATATAGACTGGACTAACATTCTCCTTTCATTTTCACAAGTCAGTCAATTTGCAATTTGCATTTGCCATGAACTATCATAACCCAGACAAGAAATATTTAACAAAGGGAGTTAACTTATCAAGGCACTTTTATTGATTGAAAGGTTAAAATGTAACTTTTTATCACACGGTTGAAACTGCTTTATTTGAACACATTAGATTTTATTGTCTATAAACCTCAGCAACACTTTATGTCTGGCTTTGAAATAGTACACAATGATTTCTAAGCCTTTATTTTGAGAGAGGACAGGTAATTCTAGTGCACATAGCAGAGTTTCTATGCAATAATTGTTTGGAATATCCAGGTAAGTACAGAACACCCGTTCTACACTTAACGAGGTCCAAAGGTAAAACAGTCTATTTATAGAAGTTTATCCTTCAAAACGTGTTTAGAGGGAAGACAAATATGATTTGCTTTGCGCAGGAAAGGCCAAATGATTGACAAGTTTTTTCAACCAATCTAAAATACAAATGAGATAACAAGAACCTGTCCAAGCCTACCACTAGTAACAGTTCACGGACTGCACTCGATTATTTTTATTACTAGTTACAGGCTTTACATTAAAGTTACCACTAGTAACAGGCTCTCCATTAATTCTACCACTAGTAACATACTCTCCATTAATTCTACCACTAGTAACAGACTCTCCATTAATTCTACCACTAGTAACATACTCTCCATTACTTCTACCACTAGTAACATACTCTCCATTAATTCTACCACTAGTAACAGACTCTCCATTAATTCTACCACTAGTAACAGGCTCTCCATTAAAGTTACCCCTAGTAACAGGCTCTTCATTAATTCTACCTCTAGTAACATACTCTCCATTAATTCTACCACTAGTAACAGACTTTCCATTAATTCTACCACTAGTAACAGACTCTCCATTAATTCTACCACTAGTAACAGACTCTCCATTAATTCTACCACTAATAACAGACTCTCCATTAATTCTACCACTAGTAACAGACTCTCCATTAATTCTACCACTAGTAACAGGCTCTCCATTGAAGTTACCACTAGTAACAGGCTCATTATTAACTCAGATACTTCAATAACTGGAATTATCTTCAGAATTTATACAACCTTAACAATTGGAATTAATTAGACATTATATAATATTATGTAACTCAGCAATCTAAACACAACACGAACATTACTAATGATACTTATTCGCATATTTCTGTTTCAATAGGTGTACATGTACCTGAAAGAAAACTAGTTTTCACTTGAACCGCCATCAACCTTGGTGCTGTAATTAAGCAGATCTAATTACTTTTCGTGGTTTATGTTGAATCAATATGGTATAAGAATACACACTTTCTGTTTTTATTTAAGTGGGTTCATTTAATAAAATCTGCCAACTGTGTACTGTACAAATGATACTTCTCCAGCTATCATCAATCAAACTAATTGAAATTAAACAAAGCAAACAGAAAAGGGGGAAGCTTCACCTCAAATCAATGAAACAAGTACAAACATGTCTAGATATTTCACACTGGGCCCAATGTCAGCTTCAATATATATATAATATATAGAGAGAACTGTTTTTTTTTATACAAGGTCATTCTTAGGGTCATTTACCAAATCTCTATATTTTTTCTTAATAAATATGTGTATTAAATGTTTAAAACTCTGGTTGTCAGTACCCCGACAGTAGCCAGCTGTGTGACAGATTTTCTCTCTGCCTTTGTTGACAAGTCAAGAAAAAAAAATCACTATGAGAAAAAAATTTGACAAAACCCCAGGGTTGACTGTTGGCTACAAGCAATGAGTCACCTCAGCACCAGCACTATCTTTAGGCCTGATGCATGTGTCTTTTGAGTTCAATCAAACACACTCATTTACACACTATTATTAATGTATAATCTCATCTATAAACCAAGCCTTAGTTTCAGTGACAGATTTTTTTTTTGTTCATTTTCTTACATAAATGTATGAATTATCTCACAAGAAACAGTTTAATTTGATACTTGTAAGATATAATGTAATAGAAATCAAATTGACAAAAAAAGCATTTAAACTCATGTTTTTGTTTGTTCATGTCTTGTGATTATATAAAATTACTATAAAAACCATACAAGCATTCCATTACACATTTCATAGGAGAAATCACTTTTAAAGATTGTAATATCACACCTGGCATATATCAGTATTGTGGATCAGTTTCTTGTATCACAAAGCACTGTTAAGCTGAGGACGGTCAGCACAAATGTTATCTGATGGGCCCACCTTGTTTTAGCCAGGGTGTCACCCAAAAGATATGTAGCTGACCAGCAGATGATGTCATTTCCCTTTAAGTTTGAGGCTGACTTCAGCACTCATGCACCAGCCAGATGTTACCAAGGTTTGGAGGCTATCATCGCAATCCCCTAACTATTCACAAATATATGATTCATATAGACTTTTAACCTTACTGTCAGGGCAATTGGATTGCACACATACCA